ACAACTAAAAGTGTCACAATTGTTGTGACTTGTAACCAGGACCAATTGTTTAACTTTGGTTAGCACAAACACCTGTGCCTGCTGAAGCAGAACTACAAAACATCATTTAGCAAAAATAAAATAAATATTAACAAAAAGTCAAGCAAAGTGACAACTGGCACGGCGATGCAACAAGTCAAAACTGCACGTTTACTACGTATTTTCTATGACTGTGCCATTGTTTTTCCTGTTGTAAAGGGTTTTACTCTTCCAGAGGTTTACTTGAGCGTTAAATAAATCGAAACAAGAAGGGGAACGGCAGGATAAGAGCCAACCCTACACAGCTGGCTGAGTACAATTGCCAACAGAGCGCATTGTTTGTTTTCAACATCAAAGTTTTATACTTAATTTAGACTTTGCCTAGAAGCATTACATATTATAGTATACCCAAACAACTTAGCAATGGAAAAACTTAGCGCAGCAATTACAATTTGCTTAAGCCCCATAGATATTAAATATTTTAATATTGATTATGTTAAGAAGGAAGATTTAGTACTCTCACTTAACTTCAAAGTCATTGTGGTAGATATACTGGGCTACACCAGACGCATTAAAATATCAACATAGAACAGTTAAATATTTTGTTTGCAAATTTTGCAAAATATATGAAAAAATGAAAATTAATGTAAGCGCACATCTTCTAACTTGAATTAAGTCATAACCACAAAAAATGTATATTAAGCCTTACGTTGCGCCACCGAAAAATCGTTTTGCGTCTGGTAGATTCAAAATTAGAACTGACAGTTCAGCGGAAGCTAATAAAAGCGAGGTGGTAGAGATTGTCATTAAAATGCTTCCGCTTTCACCCAACAAGAACAGTTGTGCCTATTGTACGTCTCTGTCGCTAATCAGAAAAGATTCCAAAAGGTATTCATATGCAAAGCGGAGAGAGACGCCGCCCACATTATTCATTGCAAATGACAAGCGGAAGGGATACCGCTCATGACTTGGAAAGGGAAACTTTAGAGGCGCTTAAGGTAAAATATAATCAAAAGCCGTGAAAACATTTTTACACGTCATTAAACTCAGATTCAACAAACCATGGCAGCGTATGTTACAGCATCCCACGGATCGCATACACACATTTATATAGAATCAAATGCCTGGCGGCGGATCACACATACATACGAACACACAGCTTCTCATTCAACCTTGCAGAAGATTGATGTGCCTTGAATGCATAAATAAATTAAAGCTTCCAATAAATTCCCAGGGAATGTTTTTGGGCTCATCGACCCAGGTCCTGCAGTAAGAATAAAAAAAAACTAATAATTAGCGTAAATAACACGCTTGTATGCCACACCTTATCAACACTTATGAGGAGTGACTACGCGACAAGTTTGACACAAGTATAGTTTCCAACAAGAATATCTAATATTAATTAAACCAGCCAAGCAACTTTTTAATTATAGATACATATTTGAGGAAATCAAATAAAAGTGTATTTCCAGTTAAAAGAACAACACCCTGGGGGCAAGGTCCAGTCAGGCCCTAATCCATAAGGCTTTGAATTATTAATTTTTAAGCTTTTCCGCAGCACAAAAAGAATGACCCAAAGGCCTTTGATTTGGCCTATGGGTCAGTGAAGCTAAAGTAATAGGGTGATGCGAGGGTGGTACCCTTGCCCCATATGTGCTTCTCGCTTGAGTGCGCATTGTCAGACCCAAGTAGCTTAAGGGGGAGATTATTAAAAAGTTCGAGGGAGAAACCTCAGCACAAAGATAACAGTATATTGATTGAAAACCGCATGCATAATGCAATAATTTTTCGAACCATTTCGTTATTTCTTGTCGTGGAAGTTACAGCTGAAAAATATCAGAAGTAAAACATTTCATTTTTGTTTACCCAGAATCAATTTGTCTAACTGCCAAAAGCAGAATTATAAAAAATAAAACACAAGTCATTCAAGAGAAACCGAAAAAATGAAAAACAAGAACGGAAGTTAGCTTCGGCTTGCTTTTATACAAGTGGTTCATACCGATTCGAAATAAAATAACACTTTATATACAAAAACCAAGAAGATACATTTTTTCCGATTATTCCCATCGAAGATATATGTATGATTTGTGGTCACAGTCCGCTTATGTAAAAGTTTTAATAGAATGAACAATTTTTGGAAAAGTTTCATGTACATACAGATAGCCAGATAGACAGTCAGACTGATCAAGACTAAACATATATACTTTTTATGGTCGTGTGTCCTTCACTACGTTGCAAAATTCTACTGAAATCAATATATCCATTGCAAGGGTATATGTACATACATATTGGCTGCAGGCCTTCTGACAACTGACAGTTTTTGTTCCCGGTTACATTTTTTTATTTACAAAGATTGTTGGTGCCGGCTGCCAAATTAAATTATATTAGCATATAACCGAATGAAGTTACATATTTAAATATATTATACTCGTAGAGTAGAAGGGTATACTAAGAAGGAAGTGTTTTGATTTGCCACATAAAGGTTTTGCCATGCCTACAAACCGCCCAAAACGGTCACGACCACACTTTTGAACCAATTTTTATTTTTATTTTCATTATTTTATTTTTTTATGTAATTTCTACCGATATTCAAGAAAATAAAGAAATTTTTCGTTTGCACTTTCACTAGCTGAGTAACGGGAATCTGATAGTTGGGGAACTCGACTATAGCATTCTATCTACTTTTTGTTCTATTTAAAATAATCATTTTTTCCATAACATTTTCTCCCCTGCAATTACAGTACCTAACATTTTTTTATTTGTCAAATTGAACACGACCAAGCCAATTCCTATCGATATGCTAATAACTTTTTGGAAATTTCGAAACCCTGTAAAGAAGTCAGGGTAAGCCATTGATATTGTTAAAGAGCCATGGAAAGAGAACGCGCTAGAACCAGAAGCAGTGACAGATTTCTTAATGTGTTTAATCAGAATCGAAAAGAAGCGGTAGACGGCCGTTTGGCTTCTTAGAATTACATATGCAGCTGTGCCTTTTTTTTGTCAATAAGTCTGGTAATTCTTAGAATGACAACGAAATAAGTGGCCAACATTTTCTCTATTTAGCTATTTATAATGGATATATTAAAGAATACAATTAAATTCTTTAATATATTTAGTGATATGAAACATTATATCTGATAGTTGGGGAACTCGACTATAGCATTCTATCTACTTTTTGGTCCTTCTTTAATAATCATTTTTTCCATAACATTTTCTCCCCTGCAATTACAGTACTTAACATTTTTTTATTTGTCAAATTGAGCAAAGCCAATTCCTATCGATATGCTAATAACTTTTTGGAAATTTCGAAATTTAAGCCATGGATATTGTTAAAGAGCCATGAAAAGAGAACGCGCTAGAACCAGAAGCAGTGACAGATTTCTTAATGTGTTTAATCAGAATCGAAAAGAAGCGGTAGACGGCCGTTTGGCTTCTTAGAATTACATATGCAGCTGTGCCTTTTTTTTGTCAATAAGTCTGGTAATTCTTAGAATGACAACGAAATAAGTGGCCAACATTTTCTCTATTTAGCTATTTATAATGGATATATTAAAGAATACAATTAAATTCTTTAATATATTTAGTGATATGAAACATTATATCTGATAGTTGGGGAACTCGACTATAGCATTCTATCTACTTTTTGGTCCTTCTTTAATAATCATTTTTTCCATAACATTTTCTCCCCTGCAATTACAGTACCTAACATTTTTTTATTTGTCAAATTGAACACGACCAAGCCAATTCCTATCGATATGCTAATAACTTTTTGGAAATTTCGAAACCCTGTAAAGAAGTCAGGGTAAGCCATTGATATTGTTAAAGAGCCATGGAAAGAGAACGCGCTAGAACCAGAAGCAGTGACAGATTTCTTAATGTGTTTAATCAGAATCGAAAAGAAGCGGTAGACGGCCGTTTGGCTTCTTAGAATTACATATGCAGCTGTGCCTTTTTTTTGTCAATAAGTCTGGTAATTCTTAGAATGACAACGAAATAAGTGGCCAACATTTTCTCTATTTAGCTATTCGTAATGGATATGTTAAAGAATACAATTAAATTCTTTAATATATTTAGTGATATGAAACATTATACATATGTATGTATATGGACACTGATACTTGATATCATGACTGAAACCGACCGGCCTGGTTAGACAGAATACTAATTTCATAATTCGCGACCAAACAAAAAGATCGGTGATTGTCCGGTGAAGATAAGAAAAAGTGCTGACCGCGCATTTGTCTATTTTTGCTTTTATGATGCATAATTTAATTAATATACATTACGCTGGCATAGGCAAATATTATTTGAGAACGACCGCAGCTGGCGAACAGTACACATAGTTTGACAATCTCTGTTTATCGCGGCCAGATACATACATATGTACATATGTATGTATGTACGTTCATATGTATGTTCACATTAGTTTAACTTATTCTTTTTTTTAATTTTAGTAGTCCGAATTAGCAAGGCAAATTTGTGCTAGTGACAGGTCAGCAAGTCTTTTTTCTAATAATAAAGCTGATGCTAATTAACACGATGCGCATGCATTTTCAGGCCCGCACATTCAGAAGACCAAGGCAAATTTCCGTTTCCGATTTGCATTATCCGCTTATTGGAAGGAGTCCCATTTCCACACATGAACTATTGCAAATTTGTTTGATTTCGATTTCATGGGTAAGTTTGTATGTACATACATATGTCTTTGCCTTTTGTTATGCATAATTCATGGGCCGTATGGTAATAAGACACTTCCCGGCAGTTCCACATTATAAATGTGTTTTTTTCTATAAACGTAAACCGAACGAGAATTGCTTAGATAAATGAGTCAAAGTATAAAAACATGCAGTGTTAGGCATTAAACAACCATATCTTATAAAAAAACATCATTTATACAAAAAGCTGCAATCAATCAGCTTGATTTAATACATATTCCACAGCTTATGCGGAAATATTAATTACTCAATACCTAGAAGAACAAAATGAGTGTGCCAAACATGGATTGTGAACAGCGCGGCGATATAGACCCTGTCTACGGCTGGATCGCCAACCTGTGCAACAAAGAAACGCGTTTTTGGGCCATGTTGGAGCTATGCGAAAGACGCAACCACATCGACAGCCTAGGACTCTTGCTGTGGCATTCCTTTGGAGCTGTGAGTGGTTTGCTGCAAGAGATTGTGTCAATATATCCAGCAATTTATCAAGATATTGAATTAACCGGCCAACAGTCGCACCGGATTTGCACTGCCATCGGGCTGATTCAGGTCATGGCCTCACATCCCTTCATTGGTATTCAACTCATACGATGCCAATTCATGTGCTATTTAATGCCATTGCTTAAGATGACCTCTCAAACTCGGGCCGTTGAGCATGTTCGCCTGTCAGTTTTGGGCGTCATTTGCGCTCTACTGAAATCGGATCATGCGGAGATCGTGGTTTATTTTTTGGGCACTGAATTAATTCCACTTATTCTGCGGCAGCTGGAATTGGGTACCACAATGAGCAAGGTGCTCTGTGCATTCGTCTTGTACCGCACCTTGGAACACGAAGTAGGCTTAAAGTTTGCCAGTCGAAGGCTGGCACGAAGGCTGCATCTAATCCATACTTTAGCCAGGGTTGTGCACCAACTGACACTGGAACCGGAGCCCAGGGTTCTTAAACATGTAGTGAGGATCTATTCTCGCCTGGCGGATCATCCCCAGAGTCTGGAGCTGATCGTAAAGCTATTGCCGGCACAGATTCGGAACGGCTATTTCTGCCAGGAAGGATTAGCGGGCTTTGAGAGCGCCTCACTAGAGCTGGCTAATCTTAACCGTAAGCTGGTCAATAAACATGAGAAAAAAGACAAAGGTAAGGGATAGTAAAACTTACAGGATCCGTTGATATAAATATTTTCTTTTTAGCTTGTGATGATTCCGTGCCGGAAAAGCATTGAAGCAAAATTTCTCGCCTCATTAGGGCTCCTTTCCCTAATGGTCCTTATCAATGCATACAAATGGTGTACCAAACAGATGTTTTATTTGGTGGCAAGAGTATACCATGTAAATTTCATTTATATTTCTACTGCTTATCTCTGGTTGGTGGATATGTAAGGGTTCCCTCTGAGCATTAAGTTGGCATAATGCAATAAACAGATCGTAAATATTTTGATACCATTTCTCCACCGTAATTGACTCGACGTTACTTCGAATGTCAAACAATAAATTCAATTTCCAATCAATAGCCCCGAAAATAAAAACTCAGTTGCACACACACATGGCAGTTACCCTAAACCCTACCACGCACGTGTATGGCTCATGGCTCATGGCTCATGGCTCGACTTTTGACATGTATACTTAGTGAAATAATCGAATGAACAAAAGGTGAAAGCAAACGGAGTAACACTGGTGTTGTAAGCCAAAGCAAGCGGAAAATAAATGCAAAAGGCGATAGACGCCAAGTATTTATAACAGTAAGAAGCATCAGGGTTTCATATAGCAGCTTATATATGTACATATCTGTACCCAACTAAAGGGAAATGCACAAAAAAATCATTCCTAAAGAAATTATAAACCTTAAAATGTTTACAAATTGTAAAATAACTTGACTTGCGTTTAATAGAAAAATGGTTCTTGAATAAACATTTTTCATTTAAGAATATATATATGTATGTTAAGTAAGGTGAAATAAGCCAAAAAGCCATTTCGTAGTTCGTTTACAGGGCACAAATTGAAATCTATAAAAATTGTATCTTGACGGTTTGAAAAATGCGTAAGTGTTTATCGGAGGTAGAAAAAACGTATGCAAAGTGGCTAAAGCAGGGAATAAACAGCCAGGCAACAACAATGACAGTCAAACAATGCAAATCAATTTAAATTTTCATCTCACATGACGCAGTCGACGAAGAAGGGCGGGAAGCAAGGGCGCAAAAATGTTCAGAAAATGCGTGAGAAAATCAGAAAAGCAACCGCAATCTCTTACCAAATTGTTTCGAGGGTTGCCATTGCCTTTTTTCGCTCTCCGTTAGCTTTGCCACGCAACTCAATCATAAGTAAATATCTGCCTCGCACACACGCACGTGAAAAAAGACGCAGCTTATTATGCCCACGGGTAAAATATAAAGGGAATATAGGGAAGCGGTTTAACGGCTGAAAAGTAGCACGTTGGCAGGCAAGACACGTTCTAATAGATTTTTTTCAGCCTCTCGCCTTTTGACGCCTGGCAGGCCATACAAGTAACACATGTTGCTTTTGTTTGGCTTCCTGTCACACACAAGGATGAAGAGAAGGAATCCTTCACTTGCATACAAAATTACACTTTCACTGCGTCAAATATCGCATAGTTTTTATTTCACTTCGCTAAAAATCTTTTTATTCGTTTTTACTATTAGGTTATTAGAAAATTGTAGTTGTAAAGTTAAAAAATGGTTGCTAAATTCTTTTAATATCTTTTACATTTTCGTTTTTCCTAAATGTTCTGAACTCACCAAACTAAACTCCTAATTTTGAGCGTGAAGATTTAGTATTCACCTTTCGACCACAGTAAGTGCGTCAGTTTTAAAATGAAAAAAGGATTTTAAGCCACAAATGGGCATTGATTAGCCAGGCGGATAGGGTGGCATCCATACATACATATGTTCAAATGTACATATATGAGCATCAATCTATGCAAATTGCTTGCAATTGACTGGCAACCCAATCCGAAAATTATGCCATCAGCGCTCCACGGACAACAATGAAGATGAACAGCGCTTCTGACTGGTAATCGCAATCGAAGCTGCTGGATTTGACAGGAGAGGGAACCTGACGAAGATAGCCAGCGGGTGGTAAAAGGTACCAAGCGCAGGAAGACAGCCAGAGCCGGAAGCTGGCAGACAACTAATTGGACATCCGTTGGTCCCGGCGCTCATCGACTTTGTGCCAGGACAAGGGCAAGGTAAAGGCAACTTAAGGATTCTTTTCCACCGCCTTTCTTTCTTCTACTGCTAAGTTGTGCGCTACGTTATTAACACCATATTGAGTAAAAGTCCGGGAGCCTTAGAAGCGATAGCGGAGCTAAAAGGTCCTCATGACTGGCAGTTGACGGTGGGACCTGCCATTTCGATTCTAGCTATGTATATGTCCGTTGGGACACAAAAGAACCTGAGGAGCTCGAATTGCCGGTGTCGTTTGGCTTGATTTAATTGAAGCCGATTTCCCAGCTGGATCCTGCAGCACAGGCCACCAGCAGGGCAACCTCATTAGATCAATCCATGTTCTAGCTCACGTCCCGCTACGCTGCCGCTTATAAGAAAACGTGGACGTTTGCAGTGCATCTTTTTACAGTAATTTATTTTTACCACTATTGTCACACTATTAATACGACTTCAACCGCATGCGTTTAAAGTCCCGTATTTATCGGACGCCACAACAAAGCGGCTAAGAGATCAATGGACTTGCCAGGGCTTTCACTTCAAAAGTTCTGCGACGGAAACCACTTCAAAAGCCGTCGTTCAGTGGTGCAGCACTGCTTCGTTGACACCTGCCTGTAGCCAACAGACCACCCCTTTGGTGATTCATTAGCTACCCGCATCAGCTTGTTGGCCCGCTTTATGCTGAACACTCCTAAGCTAAATTAAGTTTTGATAATTCCTAATAATCTATTCAAGCAAGTTTTCAAAAATGTTGGTTCACTTGCCTGCCATTCTGAGTGGTTTTAATGGGTGTGTTAGTAATGGATTGAAGCGCGGACCAGGGAGGTACACGTTTGTTGTCCTGGCTCCTTTCCTTTAGAGCGAATTGAATTTCGAAATTTACTTAGATTTGAATTGTAAGATAGCTAGAAACTTATTAGATCGGAAAACAAAAAAGCACACACAAAAGTTTTGCGGTGCCTTCGCTAGCTAACACTGTTCAAACAAGTTACGTTAAATAATAATATTTCAAAAATTTAATTAGAATTCAGAGTTATGCAAATGAAATATATTAATATAATTTAACATTGAAAACAGATCAAGCTTAGTTATGGTAGTAATAGGGCATGTAAATTAGGTTTTTAATAATTTGATATTACTAAACTTAAACTTTTTGACCTCAACGCTGTCATAGCCCGGAATCCAATTTAATGCACTTGCAGTTACTAACAAAGAAAATATTATTTTAGTTTTGGAGGTAACTATCAATCTCTTGATTTTTTTATTCATTTTTATAAGACAAAATTTTCCTTTTTTTTGCGGTGTAATGGCTTTAAACAACTTTCCTGTCAACAACTATTGTTCAAAAGTTTTGAATTGAGAATATTAATTTAGCCGATATACATGGGCGAGGGAGCGGTTGGGAAAGCAAAACAAACGGTACAAGTTTTGCGGTTGCACAGCCCAAAACCAAGCCGAAAAGAGAAAACCGGCGGGGGCGGATCAGGTACGATACGTTATGGAGGATGTTCATCGTCGACCTCAATGCGACAAGGTGCCGGCTTAATGTGGTTTTTGCGGCGTACTTTCTATTAGGCTATCGGAAGTATAATCAAGAACACTCTTCTCCTCACACCCACTAGCCGCACACCGCCATGAGTATTCCACCATCGGGAACAACCACTCAGCGACGCACACGGTCTTTGGGCCAATTAGCAATGTGTCCAACGAAGCTGGCTGTGGGCATGGATTTGTTGTGGCGAAATGAAGTGGAGTCCAATAATTAGGGGTTGGAATTATTTCGAGTACGGTAAATAACTCTGTTACTTGTCATTTCAATCTATGTAGAAGAACAAAAATTTGCGATAAGCTAGCAAGCATGCAAATCTCAAGAAATGCAAAATTCTTTCTTGTTTGTAAATATATTAAAAATGCCCCGTTCAAATTATTCAATAATTTTTGTATACAAAACAATTATCCTTTTGTAACTTTTGAATTTAGGGATGATTCTACAACCTTAATTTATCTAAAATACACGGCTTTTTCTTGTATGTATACAACAGAATTTGAGTACGAATCTTATTGAGCCGCTGGGCACACAGTACAGTCTCCAGCGCGTGTTCACCTGCAGGGAATTAGCATGCAAAGCCGTACCCCACCAGAAAACAGCTCCCCCACAGAGGGGGCGGGTCAGGTTATGAACATTGCGCTCATCATCGAAGGCCCGCCGGCTAAACTGGCGGATGGCAGACGGCAGCTGTTCGAGTGCCCATTCTCCCACCCACGCCTCTGGAGTTGTGTCCGAAAAATGTTTCCCCTACATTTGCATGGTAAAACGGCTACAAGGAGTGGTGGTCAATTTGAGCTCGGAGTGTTGTACTACACTCAAAGCCCATTCAATCACGCAAGCACTGAAAAAAGCCAACAAAAAGACTTAAGGAAAAGAGACTGAATATTTTTTTATGATTATTGAAAATGTTCTTTCAAAATTCTTCGTCAGCGAAAAATTTTTTAATTTTTTAGCTAAAATTTTTAAGAATTTTTAAATTAATATACCAGTTGAAAACAATATGAACGGCATCTAAAGAAAATTAATATATAAAATCGAATTAAGTAATCATGTAGTTTCCTTTTCATAAATTGCAACCCTTTTTTTTAGTGTAAACGCATATCCCATTCAATCATAGTTGACGGAGAGTCAAAGGAACTTTGAAGCCTGGAACCAGAGCCAGAAAGAGAAACTAAACCATGGGAGGACATGAATCTCGAACTGAGACTGGGTACACCGGTAACAACTGTCCAATTCAGAAACTGCTCGCCTCACATTTGCTTTGCTTCATGCAAGGTACACATGTTTGTTACCTGCGTGAAGGCGGAAGCTGGTGGCAGAGGTTGGCATGGAGCTAGCGCAGCTTGTTTCCGGTCCACCAGACCATGCAATACGAGAAAAGAAAGCAATTGGGCGCCGTACACTGTTGCATTTCGAGGGAAATGCCTGAGCAATGCTTCAATATATTCCACTCCCTAATGTGCGCCCAAAGCATATCAAAATGGAAAAGCAAGAAAATAAAAACAGTTGTCCATTATTGTCATCCAAACCTTACTTACGAATTATCCGTACTTTACACAAATTGGCAAAAAAAAAAAATTTTATTTTTTTCTTTTAGATTTTATAATTCCCGACATCATGACGTTGATAGGGACGGCCATGGCTAGATCAAATTTCGTTTTATGACATAGCTGATGAACATGAGCTAATTCGGTAGGAAATCTTTTTTCAATTCCGCGACCATTTTTATGCGAATGATATATGTATATGTCGTTCACTTCCAAAATGAGAATT